TTCCGTTTTCTCTTATACTCCATGAGCCATATGAATATAATTATTGAGCTCAATTTTAAACTATAGAATATTGTAAGATGAAACGATTTAATAAGGATACATAAACAATAACACATTTAACTGTCTACATTTTAGACTCTAGAACATTATTGTTCGTCACGCCATATATTAGAGTCATTAAATGTCTCGTGGCATCTGTTCATGTTTAGCTTTTCAATTATAAATTTATAAACTACGCCAATAATAATAATAATAATGATACATAATTAATTTATTGTTAACTAGGATAATATTCAAATCGTGATTCAATAGGGAAGGCTACCTCTATTTTTTGTTTTTTTATAATGAGTGTATATTATTCTGATTTTTGGATTTTTTAAGGATACTTAATAGCACGCCATTACATTAAACCTGGTTTGAAATCGGCGTTAAGTGCGACCTGCATAATAATGGTCCCTTCTATTAATTTAAAAAACAAATTGGTGATAAATGTATAAAGCAGGTAATGATTCATTCCAAATACCACAGGTAGGTTAGGTATTAATTCTCTAAATTAGGTTATTTAATTGTCGTAGAAATTGCCTAGATTTTGCTACTTAATATTCAAAGGCACCGTCTTTTCAACTATTTAGGCTTTTTATTCTTATTATTCATGTACTATTATAGTGATATCAACTTATTTTTCCTATGATAAACTCACCTTTTCTTGTAACATGTTATACAAATGACCTTTTTGAAAATATTGATGTAACTAAATCTAAATTTGAAAAAGTAGATTTTAAGGTAGGTACTTTGTGCATTTATTAATAAATGGGATAATAATTGGTCTATTATAATATACGTTTAGAAGATGATTTGAATATCACGAGAATTAGAATTAATCTATCAATATTAAATTTGATTGTTTACAAACATTTTTTGAGTACGACATAGACTTGATTTAGACTAAATCTATTTCATCGATTTCTAAAATCATCTTAAGACATAATAATATTATGATTTTTAGTTAATAATATTTTAAAAACTTTTGATTGAAACAATCATCTGCTTAACAATTTACAGTGAAAAAGATTTGTTCTAGTTTGAAAAAAAGAAGTTTGTATCACCTCAAATACATTCCTTAAATGGTATAGAAAATCTAAACAATGAAATGGTCCTCGAGTACGCACAATGATTCCATAAATCCAAATTTGAATAAATTGATTGTTGATGGAAAAATAGGTGAGGGGGGGGGAATGAGCGTGCTTGGTAAATCACCGCTTTTGTAGTTATTATTTACCGGCTTTCGGAATAACATTATAATCTACACTGTGGTAAAATCACATAGTTGGCAAAGATTATATTATTCAGTATACTATTATGATAATAAAATATTGATTGCTTTTACCGGCCATCAACATGGACAAAAAAAAATATTGACTTGAAAATTTGATGATGCGTTATCATATCATATAATATATAAATATCATCTACTTCAAACTACAACTGAAAGCGATGCGTAGTTTATGGTAAACTGTGATTCCAGCTTTTGGCCGTACCAAATTATACTTTTTTTGACAATATACCACATATAATAGGTTTTTTTTTGTACCCGATCGGAAAAACTATAGCTATGGTTGAACAGATAGTGGTGGTGGTGATGGTGGTGGTAATGGGTACCTGTTGATAGCTACACCTATTCACTAAGCTAAGCGACCGTACAATTTAGTATTTTAAAGGTTTGAAAAAAAATCACAATAGTATGTGTATATCGTGAGATATCCTATAGGTTTGCATAATACTAACACTCTTGTACAAAAAAATAAATAACTCTATCATATCGGAGACATTTTATTCGCATAATTGATGTATTACCTTTTGTGATTGAACTGTCCTAAATCAATTAAAAACCATACGAATATAACCCAGAAACACTTCACTCTCGATTATCTTCTTTGATAAATACTTAATTTCGTATATGTACTGAGTACGTATGTTTTTTATACGTCGGTATAAAATCGAAAATCATGAAATATTCAAATGACTGAAAACCAATTGCAATACGATAAAAGCTTTATTATCAGCTGCCTACCTACTTAAAGTTCGATTGCTGCCTCGAGATAAATCAAAGTTAATTTTTGTATTATTTATCACCAACTCTCAGGTAGGTACTATTATTTATTATTACTTCGATAATAATGGTAATTTATTAATTTCCCCGAGGGCAATAATAAAACATGTAAGCGGCAAGTATCAAACAAAAATACCTACAAACATGATTAATGATTAAAATATTGTTGTCTCGATAAAATACACAACATCTACATAGTACATGTTTGTCTTAAAACTATTATACAATAAATGTTATATAGTCATACACTCATACATTATAAGTTGATGTTTATGAGTGCAAAAAAATAGATTTATTTATTGAAATTATCTTTTTATATTTGGTTTATGCAGATAATTATTTTTTAAAACAACTTCGAAATCAGTACATTATTCATTTTCAAAATATTTATTATGATTTATAGTATTATTTAATTTTAAATATTGCTTGTTTTTGAGTCTGAAGTACCTACCCGCATAATAATATTAAAGTAAATCGTTTAAGTTAAGTTATGGGCCACTACTTTTTGTAAAATGATTTAATATTGCATTTGCATTTATTATTATTTACCATTTTAACTTATTACATTTTATTATGATCTTCAAGTGAAATGATGGTATGTTATATTTAAATAACCACAATTCTGGAAGGAAATTTAAATTTAAGGCCATTACCTACTATTGTTTTGCATTAAATGTGTTCATAGAATTCGAATAATCAAGTGTATCGAGTATACAGTGTACATCTTAGTAAATCGATGACATTATGAAAAATAATAATATTAAAGACATGTGTATGATGTTTTCAAAATTTGTATATTTTTATTCAAATAAAACATCTACTCAAGTATAATTTAATTTTTATATTCAACCCTGAGAAAAATCGTTTATTAAATTTTTCTTTTAAACATGTACATTCAAGTTGGATACATTTACTAAATACAAAATATACATTTAACAATTTTAAACGTTTCATATTTTTTTTTTGTTTACTTTTTGAGCTGATTGAATTTAATGTGTGATCTATATCTGCATCATATGTATCTGCATCTGCATATTGTTTCAAATATATAGAGTTACAGATAACGTAAATAGTTGTATGAAATATAATTTAAGACATTTATAGTGGATTGAAAATGTTATAAAATATAAAATAAATAATTTAATATGTTTAAATGGATAGCTGGATTAGAGTGTCGTGTCTTAGAGACATTTTTCATTGACTTGTATTCGTTAGGTGCATACTATTTTCTACACCAATTAATTTGGCTATGCGTTTTTATAATTTTATACGGGTACCTACTTGTTGTTTGTACTTGGAATGTTAAATGTATAAATGCATACTACTGTGATTCGTGGCATTGTTGTAAATATCTCAATTTTTTTTAATCACAATTTTAGACCAACTGTTACACGAGAACCTGATCGTTTGCGAGATTTTGTTTTAAACACTTTGTGTAGGTACTATAGTATTAATTTTACGGTGGTGGCGTTGAATTGAAGAAATGTCTTCGTGACCAGAAACCTATCGTGTTTCCAACGTTGTTATTCTCGTAGAATTACCATTAATACTATTCAAATGCCTAGGGATCAACTAGCATTATTCATTTTGACGTTTGACTCGTGTCCTGGTTTCATAGTTTAATTTCCTCTGACGCGCGCCAAACGAATCGCGCACGCTTCTTAACAATGTCGTCGAAAGACGTTTTGCAAATTCACCTGGCGTCATGTTATTAAAATGGTGTCACGTTTTCAATATATTTGCATTAAATTTCCTACACATAGAAACACATTTTTAATTTTACCTCCATAGGCACATTTCATCACAAAGGTCATACACTGTTAGAGCGAAGTGTGACCTGCATATGAAATTGACGAGGAACGAATTTAATTGTGTTTGTGACGCCTTCCTTGTTGTGTGAATAACTCTCAATTGATTTAGGTTAAATTAACCAATTATTCTTATTTAAGTTAATAGTCAAACACTAGAAGATTATTCGAAATATTATTTTTTTTTTTTGTGGAATTTTCTCTAGTTTTTATTAGAACCTCGATGAACGGGAAATAATCGCAGTTGGACCCGCCGAGGATTCAACTGTTGTTTTGACTCTATAGTTGTAGGTATGAACAATAATAATATTTGCAATGGGTTAAAATTTAAGTAAAAGTGTTAATATTGAGCGTGTTTTGATTTTCGATTTACGCCACATGACGTGTATATTCCCATTCTTTTAATTACACATTATTATTAATACATCAATATAATATAATAGCAGTAATATAACTATTGAATATTTCATCGTTAATGGATCATAGCTGAGTGAAAATAATTCGGGAAAACTTCGTCGTCGGAAAGAGGAGAGTTGAATAAATAGTTTATAGTTTCTAGAAATTCTTATTCAAAGGCGATTATACGTCATAAACGTTCATAGAAAAAAATACTAATATATGCCATTTTTTCAGAGAAGGCTTTCTTTTCCACAACTCAAGGCTTCTGTCGTCTACAGAGGTTTATAGATATAGTTGTAGGTACATTACACCGCAGCAGCACAGCAATTATGACAACGAGCTTGTGTACAAACTCGCGATATCTTTTAAAAACGGTTTTAGCCGCCACTACCCCTATCCACCGCTCCATAAACACATACGACTGGCCGTGAGCATCCCTCTCACGTATACTACACCTGTTTTGCTCAAATCGAATTTCTACCCTTACACACCTTGTTAATACAACAGCGAGCACCGCCTCCACCACCTGCATCCACGACAGACACACTTTCCTCGTCCAACACCCTCGCGTAATTGGAAAAAGTCTTATGAATTATCATCTGTTATTATTTGTCGCTCATAGCTATTTATTTCATGTATTATTATTATTGTATTGTTTCTCCATTGTGTTTTTTTTTCCACAGACGTTGTTGCAGGGCTCGTCCGCGCCGTTACCGGAATACAAAACGTCGGCCCTGAAAAAATCCCGATGGGTATTATCGCACTACGGGGTTTTCAAAACGTGCTGGGATTGGCTGATACTGATCGCCACGTTTTACGTCGCTATCGTGGTACCGTACAACGCCAGTTTCGTCAACACGGACAAACCGTCCATGGTCAGCGACGTGGTCGTCGAGTCCCTTTTTATAGTCGGTAAGCCGCTTTTCATTAATCATTACCGTGGTATCGTGCCACATGTACTATATATCGATTCGCCGACCTCCACCTCCCCTCTACTCGGCCGGGCTGACTCGATATATCCACTTCGGATTTGAAACCCATATTATATATATATGTACAATAAACGATCATATCGTATACGATATAGCTTCACGATGGTATTATTGTTACATTTAACCCGCAAACGAATCTACTGTCGCAAACTTCTATCGAACAGATAAGTTTATTTTAAACATTTATATAACATTAGTTACCTACGTACTATTATATGTACCTATTATACTTACCTATAAAATAATTTCTACATTGGATTTTTTTTTTATCAAATTGATGACATATCAAGTATAAATATTAAACATTTTACTCGTTTGCTAAAAACACAAACGTATTAAATGTGTTTTGCATAGTTATTAGGAAATTTAATAATAATAGGCTTAGAAAAAAATGTCAACATGTCTTTTTTGATTAGATGAGTAAGATAATATTTTAACAGTAGGTACTTCTACACATCGTGGGTATCAGTTGAAAAGTAATTTTAAAATGTCTTACCCGTTGAAATCAATGATGTAAATACAGTAAAACTTCTTAAATTTCAATTTTCGATTTCAAATTTCCAATATTGTGCCACACGGATCACAATAAAAAATAGTACTTATTTAGAGGTACATGAAAATTAATCTTTTTATACATTTTTAATTTATAATGTTTAAATATTGAATTATTTTTTTATGATTACTTATTAATGGGGGTTTAAAAAACACTAGCAAACATCTTTACCGGTCCTACTCTATTAAAGCTTATTATTTTAGGTGGCATACATGCACAATGTTATAAAAAAAATAAAACGTCATATAATCGCGGAAAGCTTTTTGCCTTTCACCCCGCTGAATTAGTACAGTAGGTACTAATATTAAACCATGGTTGTCGGCCAAGCAAATATAATAACATTGCATACTATCTAATATACGCAATCTTTATACCCGATTATATGACTATAATATAAATAATGTGAAACAATGATAGTGCACGATAAATCTTGATATTTAAATACCGTACAATAACTACGTATTTTACCAAGATTTTACTTAAATGTTCTAAACCCTTTCAATGTAGGTGCACAAATTTTACCCTCGCAAAATACTATGAAAAAATAAATAAAATAAATGCCACACAGAAACTGTTTTATTTAATTATTTATAAAATATAATGTAGTATAATGTAATATCGGTGACTTGCTTGAGCTACTTCCCACATGTTATATTCGGTCAACGGACATTGTTTTTTTTGTCGGACGACGTAGGTGATAATATTATGGAGACCAGTTTTATATCTTACTATTTTAATGAGTTCAATTTTCCATATTTATTTTTCAATAATTCATATTTATAAATGTACAGGGTGAATTTACTGTCTAGTAGTTAAGTGAAAAATATAAGAATAATGCACCTAATTTTGAATTCTTTGTAATGTTTTTTACATCATATTATGATTATATGTATTAAATTAAAACAATTAGTGCAACCAATTAAATATTATAATATAACACGACATCAATATAGGTACAAATCATATATATTGAAATGTTGGTATGGTATCTATACTAGTCCGCGTCTATTTTGAATATTGGTTATACCCATAGTAGCTGCATTACATATTTACATAGTTTATTTTTTGATGTCTTTGGTTTGAATTGCTTTGAAGTTTGATTATATTTGTATTCTTGATAAATATTTAAATATTCGTTTAAGTATAATATTTTTCCAAGATTCAACGACAGCATATATCGATGGATGTGCATTGTTAAATTGAGAGTTAATAGTTTGGTGAAAACTTTGGACCATTTGTTGTTCTGAATTTAAAATTAGGTGGTTAAACGTTATTTTATAAAAAAATATCTTCAAGATTGTAAAAAACGCCAACATTGCACTAAGTTTGGTAGGTGCTTACTACTTAATACATATTATTATACGCGATCGTAATAGAGAAAAAGGTGTGTACGCAATCGTAATTCCCTAATATTTCATAGTAAATTTAGTAATTGTTGACGGTTGGATGCGCGGGTTTCAGTTAACATTTATTTTTATATCCATTCATTGTTTACTATAGAATACATTTGTATGGCTATGTGCACCACTGGAGGAAGTTTGATATTTATGTGTTTGCAGTTTTTATCCAACCGACTATATGTACTAAATATATCGGTGACTTTGTGCATTCTATAACTTTACGAGCTAAGCTCTTCGCGTAAACGGGTAAACGTTGGGTAAACGGTAAGGTAATCGTCAGGAATCGAATAGTAGCGTGATGGACGCGTAGAAAACGAGGGTGGTGACTGAAACGGCTACCGGGTAATATGCATTTATAACCAAAAACCTCAATAAAGAGGAAACCGAGGTGTACATTGATGCATGGTTTGTGGAACATCAATGTGCATTTGTGAACGGACTTGTTGAGAAAGGCTAAGAGACGTGTATTGGCAAAAACTGGTGAGTTTACGCGCTCACGGTCCGACCGCCGACCATAATATGTTTGGGTGCTCCTGTCGAGTGGGCAACCCTAATGATATTTTTCGTCGGTCGAGCCGGGTTTCTACTACACACTGGACGGCATCGTGTTTCAAATATTTAAAACGTCGATAATACTACAGTTTGAACATATTAAACTATGTGTGACGTGGTATAGTGGTGGAGACGCCACTTGAGAGTACCTTTTATGAATTCATATTTTAGTATAGTATTTTACAGCAGGGATAACCAGTTCATATTATTGTGGTCTCATTTTAAAAATACTGGAATTTTTAAGGGGAGGGGGGTAACAAAATGTAATATAAGTACTAAGTACACGTTTATGCAAAGAAAGTAACGACAATATCAAAAGATAAAATTAAAACTTATCATTTAATTTACCATAAAAATAATAACTAAGATTGTAAATTTCTCGTCTGGTTGCTAGATAAGGTTCAGCCAATGGTCGCCACTTGGTGATCCCCTGATTGCAATAATTGTGAAACGAGTCTCGTGATAAACTTCCGTTCTGGCGTGTTGACTGTTTCTCTAGTATTATGCGGTGGTCGACATGTAGGATGCACTAAGTCATCTCCATATAATTTGCTACATGTTGCTCGTAGAAATATTCAGTAGTTTCATATTATGCTACTATATGGCTCTACGGCCATTATTTTGAAATTCAAGTTCATCGTATATTTATATTGTTAAAATGTGGATGCTTTGCAGGATATGTTTTGAATACCCGAGGGAAAACTTTGTGAAATAATTGACTAACATAATCGATGTGTGCTAATTTTTAAAGTGTATTTAGGTACGCTGTGTGTTATTATAGCTGTATTATTGAGTTCGCACTTTCTCAGCGTAATCGATCAGAAGTTCGCCCGATTTTGATAGATATCGATGCACATTGAATGATGGGTTTAGATATGACTGTGATGTTGTGAGTATACCTATTAAATCACAGACACGTACTCAAATGAGTAATGGCCGCCAAAAATACACATCACACCCACTGCATCAAAAAGACGATATACCAATATTTAATAAAAAAAAAATAGTAAATAAAATTATATTATATTATCGTGTATAAGTAAATATTGTCTATTCTTTATTATACATACATACTATAATATACTACGAAATTGTCGAAAAAAAGAAAAAATCATAATTTTGAGCTTCATTATAGTTTACTGTATATTCTACATCATACACTATAACTATTTTCTTCAAAAACTAAATTATAATATTTATATTTATGTGTATGATATACATTATAAACATGCCTTTATTTGACAATTCAAAATGCAGCAACTGGTACTCAGTAAAGTTTAATTAATATTAAGATTAGAACTAAGACTAAATATGAGCCATAAATACGAAACTAATAATGAGTGTCTTTTTCAATATTTCATCAAATATATTATTAATTATTATACTACAAAATTTAAAATTTGATTTAGAATGTTTATTTTATAAGAAATATGATACTACTCAGTGATGGTTTGAAATATTATTATTTTTGTACTCACGAGTTTGGTGTAACTTATAATGAGGGAAATATCACTTAATGTTATTTAGACTGCAAATCCCTAAAATTAATTCAAATTGGAAGATTGTATTAAAAATATATCTTTTAGCTTTTATTTAAATTTGTTGATTAAATATGACATTTTAATGTCAGTTTAATAATTGAGTTAATTAATTGTACTATAATATATTTATCTCCAAATATTGTTGATGTTTCGTGATCATATTACTTGAAAACCATTTCACCAATTAACGACAGTGGCAACAACCGTTAATTAAATTACGTCCAGGGATCAAATATAAGGGACTAAAATATGGTTTTTACTTAAATAATTGGAAAATTAATTTGAAACGAAAATGACAACTGATTAAAATACCATTTTCATAATGAGTGAAATAAATTAAATATTTCATTCTCAATATAAAATCATACAAGTTACAAATTAAAAATAAATATTTCCCATCACATTTGATTATTGTCTATATTGTATGATGATAAAAAAATTAATATTGTTGATTACATTTTATCATAGGTGTTTAATACGTTTATAATTTCATCATGCGTTTTGTTATGTGTAATCATCAAGAACTATATCTACGGGGTAGCCGCGGAAAACTTGATTTTTCTAATTAGTTTATATTACTATTTTTATTAAATTACACACGAACCAACAGATTTATTAATACATTAATAGAGTTGTATAGATATTTTATGATCAATACCACGAATATTCATTACCCTTCAAAGTGTATTCGTCCTATTTTGAGTTCTATGTATAGCTTACGCCGAGTTCGAATTATTTATGTTGTGAAGTATAAATCAGAATTGAATGAATTATTCAATTATTTATCACCCTGCGAGACATTTATGTAATATATATAAAGTATGAACAATGGTCTATGTGTTCGTGTTAGTTCTGAGATTTACCCAAAATTAAT